TAAAAAGTAAGATATCAACAAAGTCTTGGGTTTTGTCACTATGCCTTACTCACCAAAAGCCCCAATACTCTTTTAGGCCTCAGATTACATTGCTTCAGACCCAGAAATTTAAATAAATGCAATTATACAACAGGTTTCTGTAGTTCAAACAATCCTTCTGGATTCTACATACACTAAATAATTTATCAAAGTACAGTGCTAAGCCAAGTTGTTGTATGGAGACAAGCTACCCAGTCTGGAACATCTTGTACCACAGTTTGTAATGCAGGAATATGAATCACATACTGAAAATGCTCAAGTGAGGAGGCAAAGCCAGAACTGCATGCATCAATCAAATGCAAAAATTAAGTAGTGAGTACATGGAAAACTGTTTGCCAGCAACAGGTCCAGTACACAACTGCAATTTTTCCTCTGCCACCTGTGGCCCTCTCCTGACACTCTGCCTATCCAATTTGCAAAAACTATGCTTGAAAATGTGTCCATTTTCAAATTTGTGCTTCCCTTTCATACTGAATGACAATCACTTTTGGAAGAAAGTTGTTCTATAATATTTTTGTCGTACCAGGACAGCCTAATGTGTGGCTTGTCATCATTGAATATACTGTGGATTCACCAGCAAGTCAAAAGTAGATGTGACGCAAAAAAACATCCATGAGAAAACTGTAGATAGAGCCAAAACATCTTCACCTCTTGAATTATTAAATCACAGCAAAGACTGCCCTTGATCTCTAGCCCAGTTCCACTATACAAGAGGTTTCTTTTTTCAAAGAGACTTTAGATTACATTTTAAAGTACAATCTGTAGTCCGCACTGGAAAGTTCTCATATTATCATGAGTCTCAGACTAATCCTCCTTTGAGAAAAGCCAGCACAAAGTCATGTGTGTTGTTAACAGTCAGCTGAGCAGCTTGTCTTCTCCCCACACCACTGCTGTGTGACTTCTAACACCTTTTTTAGCTCTACTTCTGCCAGCAGTTTTCTATTAACATCAGCAGCACAGAGTGAAGAACTGTAAGAGGTTAGAAAGCGCATTGTTTCCATCAATGTTGCCTCATGAAACAGACACCAAACAGTCTCAAGGAAGAACAAAACCCTCAGGGAATCCTCTCTCTGAAAGCCACTTGTGACTTGAAGAGCAATATAAGAAGATCAAAGCAATCTGAGCTGCAGGTTGCACTGCCCAACCCTGTCTCCACCATGACTGCAAGGTCCATACTAGGGAAAGCAAACTGTGGAAGCAGTAGGCTGCAAAGCCTACGTGAGCACTCACCTTCCTCCTCAGATGTATCACTGCTCTTGTTCTCCAGCCTGCTACAGATTTACTGTCTCTGAAAAATCTCAGGAGAAAATAAATTCTCCTTGCCAGAAGACTATGTGAATTTCAAGAAGAAAAGGTCCAAGACCTATATACATTGAAAAAGGCATCTAGTTTGCTCAGAAGGTTGTAAAGATAAGTGCATTTGTTGTTACTCTACAATGTTTATTCTAAAAGCATAACTTTAATAATGCTCTCTTCAATTTTTGAGACCAACTACTGAAACTCTCACATTGCTTTTATTTTGTCCTAATTCTGTCAAACTTCTATCACTATCAAGCATGAAATGTTCAGCCTCAAAAACAACTCTAATAAACAAGAGCAGGACAAAATTGAATGAAGACCTTAATGATTTGTCTCAAAGAAAAGGAGTAAGATTATAAAGTCTAGGTGACTTAGGAACCCCTATGCTAAATTTAGGGCTGACTTTGCCCTCTAGTGCTTCTATGCATGACCAAAATATTAACCAAATTTACTCACTCCAGCTGCCTTCAGGTGTAAGTGATAAATACAGAGATGTTGCTGCTTCTGATGATTTTGCTTCAATGACAGTGAGGCTGACTCCAAAAGCCTTCATTCACACTGGTGAGGTTGGAAATCAGCTCATGGCTTTAAAATGAAACTGTAATAAGTTCACAAAGTACAATGGAAGGAAAACTCTCCTCCCTTAGTGCTCAAATGCAGTTAGGGTATTCTGAGGCTTCAGAGAATCTGTTCCTGCTTCCTTTCTCAAAATCCCCCTCTCCTTGCAACAACAGTTTTTTTCTTTGCCATGTTTATCTACATTCATTCATCACGCAACAGTGATGCATGAGTTTCATCTAGGAGCATCTACTGCTCAAGGGAGAAGAGCTATTACATTTCCTGGATTAGAAGTTCACAGGCAATGGTTACTGCTAATTTGTCTGTTACATTGGCAATGCGTCATTCTTGCCTTTGAGAACCTTTAACTAGAAGGATTCCACAAGAAAATAAATAACAGTAATACCACCCCCTGATTTCAGCACTTATTCTTTTCTCCAGCCCCCCTGCAATGCTTGTTGCCAGGCTTTGTCTACACTGAGTAAAGAAATAAGGAGAAGAGTAATTAAATGAATATGCTGATTAAATTGCTTTAATAGGCAGCTAGTTAGACAAGTATCTGTGGCAAATGGGGTACACAGTCACATATGGCAGTTCTCAGCGCTAAACTGCATATAAGGCAGAAGAATACTATAAATGAGTTCACAAGGCTTTCAAATCTGCTCGGCTTGAATTGATCATTTTGCATTTTCCCTCAGCCAGATGCAAATGGACTGAATGTTCTGCAGCTGTCATCACCTCTCTGCACAGTTAAAGGCAGTTGCCCCTGACTTAGAGTGCAATTTGCTTTTCATGATGTACCTCCAAAGCTCTGTGCTCATAAAGGTTTTCATTTGGAGGCGAGCTGGCTACTGCTCCTCACTGGAAGAAGAAAACGTACATTGCCATAATGTCTGATTTACTGTTTGTGGCTGATCTGAATGTTTGGAGCAGTAAAGTTGGCCAGCCCAGCGTAATGGTCAATGGCACACAGCTGGAGGTGCACAGCTGGCCCTACTATAAAAGGTTCTTAACGGATTTTTTAGGTTTTTTTTCAGGTACAGCTGAAAGCAAGGAAAAATTAAGTAACTTGGGATGCACCATGAACCTGTCTCTATGCAAAGCACTTTGTATTAAAGAGCATATAAAGAAGGAAACCCGTGCTACCTCCACAGCAACTTGCTGTTCAGATTCTTCATTTGAATAAATTAGAAGGACTGAATTTAAACATGCCTCTTCAGCAGCATTTGGCAGGGAACAGTGGGAAGTGTCTCCTGTAGCAGTGAAAAATTCAATCCAGACAAAGATTGTTCACAATCTCGTTGCATTGCTATTAATAAAGACTCTCTTATATCCAGGTGAATAGCCTGTTCATCTATCTCCCTTCCTGGAAGCTCAGAGCAATAAAGATTGGTAGTTCTTAATCACTGCTCACAGAAATCAGAAATAATGCCAAATCTGGTGTGCCTTGTGCCCCCAGGGCAAACCAGCGTACAGTAAAGTTAGTGGAAGTAAAGGGTGATGCTAAAAAGCTGTTCTGGTGGATACAAGGGGCTGGTTAATACTGAAAAGAGGAACTTTTCATCCTCATCCCATGCTAAGAGCACAGGATACAAATTTAGATTAGGCTAAACTTAGGGGAAGAACTGCCAGGAAGAATCCAGCACTGGCAAGGTTGCAGTAGCCAGCTCAACTGTCTTTCACATCACTAACATGTATGCAGCAGACTTAGAACACATGCTACGTGATTAGGAGGGAGAAAAACCTCTAAGTGTCTGCCCTGTCATATCGTCCCTGACAAATGACCTGAATCCAACTGCAACACATTGCTAGGAGCATCCATTCCAAATGACTTCTTGTAATTCATTCATTTACTTCTTGTAAAACATTTTCTTCTCTCCCTTTCCTTGTCCAAACCTTAAATCTCCAGTTAGTATGGATCTTCACAACTCCACTAAATTTTCAAGGAATCTGAAATACCAGCTTGAAGAAATGGCTTCCCTACGCATTCAATGTGCCGCATTATGAACTGTCTCACTCCCCAGCAAACCATGAAGAGTTGTATTACAAAGATCTCCCATATCTAATTTTGGTTCCATATGTAATTTGGCTAGAGAGAAACAATCACCATTGCAATGGTTATAGGCATCACACCTTCACTCTAGGAAAAGGAAATCAAATGTGAAGACTCTTGAACAGAGTCCTCTTCATTTCCATTCTTGACTTGACTGATCAGAGACAGATGGAAAGAAGCACGTTCAGGGTTTGTTTGTTCCTGGATAGACTGGCCAAAGGGACATTAATTGTCCTATTGTGGTACAGTAGAAGGAAGCCTATTCTACATTCTCTCTGGTTTGCTCTTTACTCAGGCAAATGAGAGGCAAAAGAAAACTGGCTTGGGCTGCAGGATCTGCTCCTCTAAACCTCTATTCACTATTACATGGAGCTTTAAAACCTAGTTTGTGGGAGGAAGGGAACCTTTTTCTTACTACAAGGGAAACAGGCCTTTCAAACAATTTTGATGGGCCCCTATAGTAACTCACCATGGCACTATCTAGTAATATAGTCAACAAAAATCCCACAGGCGAAACTACTGGCCCATGCAGGTGCAGGAGCCAAGGAGCAACTGGTATTGAAAAGCTTCCTCAGTATTTCTAGAGAGGAACCAGGCAGATCTGAAAAGCATCATGATGATGCTGGCAACGTAACACTTGTAACAGGCTAGTGACAATTTATAATCCAGTTTGCAGCATCAGTGTTTTTTCAGTGATTCCTCTAATAGCCAAAATGGAGTCATTAAGCAAGCCAGATTTCCACTCCCATCTGCTCCCTTCACAGAAGTCCCTTCCCACCCAAGCCATTTGATGACTACACACAAGCAAATGTGATCATTGAACATTCCCAGCTGTTCAGCAATAATCTCATACCTCGGGCATTTATCATAATTCTCAGACCAAGACACGGGGCTGTGGAGTGTTTGCAATGGGTCTTATAAAATAGGGTTGTCATCTCACCTCAGAGACAGCCTCCCTGCCACCCACAGGCATGCCTGTTCTTCTAGAATATACACAGCTGCCCCAGCCTAGACATAACACTAGAAATAAAAGAAGACAAGGTTACTCCACCTGGCACTTGCCATGTACACAGAGGTCGGTCTCGTAAGGCCCACATGGAGTACCATCAAGGACTCTGTCTGCCACCAGCACAGGGGAATCCTTCCCCAACGGGGAGCAGAACAGCTCACATGGCTTGTCTGGAAAAAGAAATACAAAAGCGACTCCTTTAGGAACAGCATAAATAACTGTTTGAGGCAATGGTAGTGCAGTCTGTACATGAACGGATTTGGAGAGTTATCTGTTGATATTCTCATCTTTAAAGGAACATGAGCCTTTCTATTTAGGTCTGTCATTTCCCCACTTTAAAATATCAATATTCAAAGGCTTACATTGATGAGATTGGTCTTTTAAGACACAGAAAACCATTTAGTCACTACACTTCTATGTATCTGTTTGTGAATGGAAGATGTTTGTTACAGGGAACATTCAGCAGCCTGATATGAATGACCAAGTCACTCTGTGAGCATCTCAGACAAAATTCAGGCTACAGCCAGTGATTTTAGAAGAACAAATTCTCTAGTCCATGTCTACTTTTGATGGACTGACTTCTTGCATCACTTTGCCACTAAGAACACTTGTATACATAAATTTAAAGCATTCTTGCATACATATTTCCTACTATTTCCTTGAACTACTATTTGTGGTCCTACAAACATTTCTGTCAGTGAACTATGCTGCTAGAATATCGAAAGAAAGAACCCCCAAATTAATTTGAAATACTTTAGTAGAGAAAAGTTGCATTTTTCATCCACGCTAATGGATGAAAATCCATTAATCCTAATCATTACATTATATATTTAGACCTCACTTTGGAAAACCTACTATGGTGTTTAGCTAGAGAAGGAGTTAAGTAAAAAAGATTTTTCAAAGATTTGTATTATTAGCTGGCAGCATAGAGCAGATGTCAGGGTTTGCTGACTGCATTTGCCATATGTTTAAGTAACAGATACTTAGGCAATGTAATGTTTTTCCTTTGGAATGGACTTCATCCAAGGAAGAACCTATAGACACTGAAATGGAAATATGTTTTGTTCTGTATAGTCAAGTACCTCCACTCATCAGACATAAGAGAGAAGGTCTGCCAATACATTAAGCTCAGTGACATAGGTCTTTTCTAAGTTTCCAATGCAATCCAAAACCTGCAATCAGCTCCCACCTCACTAATACATGTAAGTAGCATTCAAGCACAGTGGAGATTAGGTCAAGGTTAGTTTGGATCTTTGTCTGTTTAAACGCTTCTGCTTCGATATGCTGAAAAAAGGTACTGGTCTGGTCTTCTGGTATGAGTTTCAACATCACCCTCCTCTGTTCAAGCAAGTCTTTAAGATGACCAAATGAAACCACCCTTGTCTGTTTTTCAGCAGAGGGCAGCGAAAGATGTTTGTTCCTGCGAAAGGACATTATTATTATGGTCCTTTTTCATATCCCCCCAACATCTGGCTGAATAGTAGATAAACAGCAAGATCCAGCAAAGGAAGCATTAAAGGAACATCAGTAGGACAGGCAATCATGCTGAAATGTCTGGAATTGACACACATCAAAAGTGTCCCAGGGAATCCTTCTTTTTTTTCAGTTCCAAATTAATTTGAACTTTCTGATGTTTAAAATCCTATTCCCAAATACCTGCCTGTTCAGACTGGGAATCAAGTTAAGGCACCTCAACCCCAGCATTACAAAAAGATGAGTAAAGAACTAACAACTCTGTATTTTCTGTTAAGAAGGCTAAAAGAACAGCAGGGCAGCACCAAGAGCAACGAACTGTAATTAGTCTTTCAGCTGTAGCTAAGGGGAACATATTGTAGCCTTCTCACCAACAAATGGGAGTCTTGCAGATGAAATTAGGATGGGTCAAGAAGCAGCAGTGAAAGAAGAGCAAAGAATTACAGAGGAAGTTGAAAAAAACTTACCATCGACGATGACAGCAGTCAGGAGGCTTTTCTTCTTGTTGGTGTATCTGTCATGGGCCTGGCACTGTTGGTCCCTGAAGCTTGGCACTCCTTTAGGGCAGGGTAAGTTCTCACACACAGTGTGCTCCACGCTGGCTCCCCGGCAGTTCTTTCCACCTGGTCCTGGGCTATTGCAGGAAAGACAAACCAGGGTCAGCAGG